ACACTTATCCTAACATCCTCTTTAGAGATCATCATCAGCTGTTCATTATGTTCTTGATCTCATCCATGGTATGAAATTTTCACTTTCAATTTTCATTTTAGCATTGAGAAAAAAAACCCAGAAGTCACAGGGAGCCACATCTAGATTGTAGGGGAAATAAAAGACTGAATGTCTTGCCAAAGAATCTTACATGAGATGTAAAGAATGGGCAGTTGAGATGTTCAAAATGATGGGATAATCTCCAGACAGTTTATAGAATCCCCAGATCTGCTAATTCTCATATTATAGTTGATTTCCTTTGATTGTGGCCCATATACATTCAATATCTTCAAGTGTTCTACTTGCTAATGACCTAGGATGTGAATCACTTTCAATGAATTTCTAGTCAAGTTTGAAACATCAGTTCTAACATTTGAATCATCCCCAAAAGTCTTTTTAAGGCTTTTGGGGATGACTCAAATGTTACATAGCATTCAAATAATTTCCATTTTACGGTTAAATCACGCTGAAACACCGGTTCTCGTTCGATCACCGAAGTTAAGCATCGAGAGCCAGGTCAGTACTTAGATGGGGACCTTTGGGGAACACCTGGTACTGTAAGCCCCCAAAGTCCAACCCCTACCAGTCCAGGGGGGGCTAAACGGTAGTGTTAGAGCTATGCCGCCTGGAACTTCATTCCTGGTAGGCTACCCAAAGGCGGACAGGTCTGACACATAACGCCAGGCTAACAAGGGCTCTGGTGAAAATCCAAGGAGCGTCTGCATCGGTAACTGGGCGGCTTCTGGTTGTTCCTGTCTCTGCGTCTGTGGGAATCCCATGGCAAGCAAGAACGTTATCCGAGTAGGCCTGGGTACTACTTGTAATTTATCCCAAGAATCTTCTTCTCATAACAGGAAGAAGCTGGCTCAATCCGCCCAGGGTGAATGCCGCATCAGTACAGTTAGTACAGTACAGTAAATAATTTCCACGGACAAATATCAAAGTTTCAAAGCTTGATACAAACTGACTCTGATATCTCATTTCTGTATATATAATGAGGTCTGTCATTACACATGCACAATAACGTCCCTTCCAATTGATTAAGGCTGCACAACCAGTTCTTGAGATATTCAAAATGACTGAATATTTTCCTGACAAAACTCATATAAGAATATTTTTAGTATTGGTTTTTGAATATTTTTAAGTGGCATTTTTAGTATTAAATATATCATTTATTAAATCTTTTTTTGTAAAATATTAAGAATGACCTCTGACATTAACATTAAAATTATTCTTACACCAAAATAAGATTAATTTTTCCATGAATTCAGAGAAATTTCAGACCTGGAAAAACTCCTGCATTCCAATAAGTAGGAGAAAGCTGCTTCACTTTTCATTCTTCTGTACATCTTACAAAGTTATGTTTTTAATTAAAAATATTACTTTATTTTTTATAAACTGTATATGAAATAAAATTCCATCAATACTTGTATAGAAATTTTAAAACATACACTGATAATTTATATCAGATATCTCTACAGGAATAAATTGCACAAGTTATTCTTCAGCTTTTTCTGAAATTTGAAATCGTAAAATGGGTTTTGTTTTATTTTTTAATCAAAGAGAACAAGTATGTTATCAGATATCTAATTCATGTTCATATATTTTTTAATATCTGAGATATTCATTTCACCTATTCTTTCACCTGATATTGAGTAAAATGGTGACAGACACAACATATTCAGCTTTTGACAAATAGGTATGTATATAGGTATGCTGAGATACTGAGTATATTTTACTTTTCATTTAGATAAGATTATAGAGCCTAAATAGAAAAAAAAGACATTTTAGTTGTTGCTTCATGTAATAAGGGTACAATGGGTTTTTTTTATAAATTTAATTTTTTCCATAATTGTATAATGTAAAAATTGTTGCACATATTTTCTAAAAATTTTAATTTATTTGTTGGTGCAGCAGTTTTCAGCTAATTTTGCAAATAAACACACAAACTGATAAGCAAATAAATGTCCTCTCTCTCTCTCTGGATGAGGATATTAGTTTACAAGCATTTACCTGCATTTGTCACTTTTGAATTTTTTTAATGATTCTCAATTCTCACAATTACAGTGTCAAAGTGTCATAAAACTGTTTTATTATTAAATTTGTTGGGCATAAAAAGATTATTATAATTATCTCTAAATAGCAGGCATTATTATAGTGAAATATAATAATCTAGAAATGTTTTAAAATATCTTCCCACTTTTAATTAAAATGCTGAAAAATGTTAATATACTTTGGGATTTTGCAAAAGCCTTTACACTGGTGTGAAATCAGGATGTTAGTTATATAATGAGATTCTGATAATGTAGTTAATAGATATACAAAAATGAAACCAAAACTGTTTTTGTCTGTCAGTCTTTCTAACTACAAAACTCAATTTATTTGTATTAAAGAAATAAATGGTAGCCATATCACCATTCCTAATACACTTATAAATTACACTGAACTTTCTGTATGCTATCATTCATTTTAAAATGCACATGTAAAATCTAATTATTCTTCATAATAATACTTCATAATAATACTTTGAACCATTGAGTTTACTATTAAACTATCAGTTAGTTTTGATCGTAGTAGTAATATATATTGCAAAAGTCAGTAATATCTCTAATAATTACATAAACATGTTACAGTTTCTAGTCAAATTCATCATATGATGTGACATTGCATAAAATTGACTACTGCCCTATTATATACATAGAACTTTAATCATATCATTGGCATTAATTGCTCTCTGTTTCATAATACACAAAATAAGTGTTTACAAATTTTTTAGTCAATTGAACATATTTGCTATTAATGTTATTTTATTGGTGAGTTTTGGTGATGCAACCTACTCTGGTTCTATGATGATGGCAATATTTGCAGTAGTAGTTGTAGATTTTTTTATTGATTTTGTAGTAATCAATACAATTCATTCATTCTCTTCTCAAACACTGGCACACTCAAAATACAGTTGTTCAATGTGTTTCCCCATAATGTTTATTGTTGAAGAAAATCTACTTTCATAAAAAAAAAATCTTATTTTGGGAAGTTCTGAAAATCATTGTAGTTGTATATTTATTGGGTCAGAACAAAAGTTTGTAACATTTTTTAAGTAAATTTCAAAGATAATATTTATATATTTCTACATTCTATCCATCTATAACTTGGCATCTTTCTGGGTGATGAACTGGCCTAGGTAGTTTTTACAAGCTTCCAGAGAACTGAAGTTCTTCCCATTAAGAAAATTTTGTAGGGATCGAAATAAGTGATAACCCAAAAGTACAAGGTCATGTGAATATGGTGGGTGTAGATAGGATAAAAAAACTTAGTTGTATCAATTACTGCTGGGTCTGTAAAGAGACATGAGATCTGGCATTGTCTAGATGGAAGACAACACCCTTCCATTTAGCCAATTCTGGACACTTTTCATTGATTGCTGCCTTTAGTCAATCCAAGTGGGAACAGTACTTGTCTGGCTTTATCATCTGATTTTGTGGAAGGAGCTTGTAATACAGAATGTTTTTGTAGTATCATTAGGTACATAGCATCACCTTCTTTAATGGTGAATCATTTCAGTTTTTGACTTCACATTGTTGTAAACAATCCATTTTTCATTGTTTGTGATCATTCTTTTAAACCATTTTTGTTGCATTGGAGGAAGAATCACAAATGGAAATGTGGTTCACTTTTTCCTTTAAATGATGAGGTACCAAATTATATAATGATTCACATATCCAAGTGTTTTCCAATTCTTTACAGTGCTTATATGAAATGTGTGGAGTATCTCTGCAAGGTTCCATGTCATGTGAACTAGATTATTTTTAACCTGCATTTTAATTTGATCTTCATCAATGATTGCAGGCCTGCCAGAATTTCCACTTCCACATACCATTTTCTACTGTTTGTACAGAATTTTTTCCTTTCCAGAAAAAAAAGTGTCAAATGATGAAAATGTATTTCATTTTCCTCTATCCTCACTTTTAAGAAATAAAAAAAAAATTAAAATAACAATCCACTCACAAATTGTATAAAAAGATGTATACCTCTTAGAATATGTAGATGACATAAATTTTAGTCACATGTTCCAATGACACCAATCAAAAAACTTTTTCCATCCCAATATTTAATACAACTCAGACATATGTAAAAGATTTTTTTTTTAATAATGAAGCTAAAATTTCAAATTAAATGCAGGTTAAATAGATGAATATTTCTTGGCTATAAAATTAATTGCTTTAACTTTTGCGAAACACAGACCACTTTACACATGATAAAATATTTAACCATATATAACACTTTTCTGCCAGTTGGACTTTGGTCAAATGCTGTCGCTGGCTGTTAAGTTGGTCACTCTGATCTAAACCGTTGCTCTGCCCACATTGTGGTGATTGATCACAAAGCTGGCAAAGATCAGATTGTCATCAGCAATTGCAATGTTGGTTCGATCATGGCAAAGCTGTGTCACAAAGGAAATTAAATAAAATGTTCTCACAGATGAGTAAAGAAAAGACAAGAATTTCTTCAGGGTCTATTTCTATGTAATTTTATATCAATTCTTTTTACAATACTATAAGATCTTGGTATAGAAATATTAATCCTTCACTGTTTTGCATTTTATTGTGACACTATGTTCAACTTAGATAAGTCTGGAAAGAAGTTCAAGTCGGAGTTTCTCTCTGGCAGTAAGTCACATAGGATTCAGCAGTGGTCATCTCTCATCTGGAGCCTCTGTCTTGGTCATCTCAGTATTCTGCTTATATTGACTTCTGCCTAAAACTGACATGGGGGTTAATGTGGATAAAGGGATTGCGTGGTTTTTTCTATCTCCAACAAGGGCTTCTTTTTTGTTTAGTTCTGGATAATTAATTATACTTCCAAATTTGGAGAGACCCCTCTTCCAATGGTCAGTGGTCACAGCGTACTGATCAAGCCACCTCCTTCCTTTCCTTATTTGTGCCTTGCACTAACACTTCCAAATGGGCATAGGCAATTCCTCCAGTTTCCTTGATATTTCACCTGTGCTTGTCACCTTGGCTGCCCTTCAACCAATCTGGCTCTCAACCATGTGACATGGTTTAGCTTATGGTCATTAATTAAAATTATCATTTTCAATTTTGTGTAGGCAAAATTTCTCAGCCTGGTTTTGCTTAAAAATCAGAAATTTACTAGCTGCTTCTTTTGGTCAGTCACAACAATCTCCCACCCACCTCCAATCCTGCCAGCGTCATTGCGCTCCAAACTCCATAGGTTACACTTTAATGATTTGGTTACAGATAAAATTTTATCCATTCTGTTTATATTGTATTTTTTTAACCAGTGCTTTTTTGAGCTGCCTTATTAATCAACTGTCGGCTAAATATTGTAACAGAATCACTTTCCTTCAAAGCATCTCGGCCCTAAAAAGAAAAAGACTTTGGAAATAAAAAGAAATCCCTTTTTCTTTTCTCAGTCTGTCCATCATTCTATTCATTAACTCTTCTCATCTCGTCCCAAGCTATGTTTCTGATTTAACCCCTTTCTTTCTATTTGCCAGTGTCATACATATTGTTTGGAATATATTTAAGTGAATTTAGACAATTTGTAAAATAGCTTGAAAGTTCTATCTTTATAAAAGTGTTCATTATTTTTCAGTCATTATTATCCCTATTTTGATGTATATATTGAAATTTTTACCAGAATTGGATGATTAATAGCTATTTTACTGTAAAAAATATCGATTTGTATAGTAAAATATAACATTGATTTTAGTGTTTTAAGTTTTTAATGTTGCAAAGGAGTGATAACTGTGATATCTTATTTCAACAAATGGATTAGTATGTTTTTTAAATAAATAAATGTGAACTAAAAACACCTTCTAAGTAGAGAATCTTGTAATTATAAAATGCATAATACTCTATAATGGGAGAGAGTTAAGGAAAAAAGATTTATTCTCTTATTTAATTTTCACCGTTATTATATCTGTGATATAATAACACTGTAGTTCATGGATGGTACAGAATGGCTGAAATGAAAAAGAATGGCAAACATGCTTTGTTATCAGAGAGACTTTCATACTAAGACATACACAAAACTATATATACATATATACACATATCCCATGCAGAGAATAATATACCACATATATCTATACAATAAAGCAGAGTGTAAGGAGAAACAAAAAGGAAGGGTCTTATATATAATATGGAGATATTGCTCTGTCTGGAGAAGTCATGTTGAGGACTCCAGATTCAAATGGGCCAGATTCATCTACTATGTACCAGTGAGGACATATTCCACAAACAGGAAATGGTGAGTCTTGGGTTTTCCCAAATTGAGGACTGTGAAATGGAGTTTCTTTCTATATCTGGGAAACATATATTCACAAAAGAAAACAGCACCATGGACTTGTAAGCTGCTAGGGAGGCAGATTTAATCTCAACCTGGACAGGGGGGGGGGGCTTTAACTGAGCTAAAGAAAGAAACCTTTTGGTCAGGTTGCTTTAAACAAATTGAAATTGACTGGTGGTTTTGTCACTGAGTGGAGTGACATCATTAAGCAGTTATCACATGACCCACATGTCTTTTCTCCACCAAAGGGAGATAAGTGCCTTCTGTATCCCTACAACCAACTGATATAAATAATCAGATTTCTGTGTTTTTTTTTTGCTACAAGAATAGCCAGCCATACATTATATATATATATATATATATATATATAACCTTTTTTAAGAATATCTAAATCAGACCACTCTTGTATACATAAGAAATGGTGTATCCAAATCATATAGTAAATTGCAGAAAAATTGTAATCTCCCCTTTTTTTTCAGTTTCCACTATAGTATTACACCAAGGGGGGTACTGAAAAGTTTTCAAGCCAACCCACTTCCCAAAATCAGTAGTTAAATTGACCAAATTGCAAAATACTAATGTTTAGAAGTGGTTGAAGGTGAGAACTTTTGCAAAACCATATATTGTAATAAATTATCTAATTTAGATCAAATTTCTACAGAATTTATTAATTCTACATTTTTACCAGTTAAAAATGCTGTCATCTTAATTTGTTCACAAAACAGTTCCTTTTTAGACCATCTTTACCATTTAAACTTTCCTTTTATATTTGGAAGGTTCATAAAACTCATTTACTATTCTGACACTTTATCAAGAATAAAGTAAAACTTACAGCATGTGTTTAATGTACCCATTCACTTCTGAAGATTTCATCCTTGTAAACAGTTTGTGTTTTGCAAATAAAAAAAATGACATGACAAAAATGTTCATATATTTAACATTTTGTCTTCTTAAATTTGTCAGATATATTTATATTTTTTTTAATTACTACTTTCTCTGATGCTAAATCAATGGAAGATTTATCTGTTTAATGTGAGAGGGTGTTAGTACCTGTTGCAGATTTTAATCAACCCAAAAGGCAAGAATTTATTTTTTATTTTTATTTTTATGCTTTTACAACTCAATTTTTCTCAGTCTGTATGAGTGTTTGTTAAAGTTCTAGTGTTAAAGATGTTTGTAGATGTTTGTTAAGATGAAAAGAAATATGATTTCTTTGTATGCATGTCTGAGAAAAAAGTGATAAGGAAGAAAATGTGTCACATTGCTTGGTGAGGAAGATTGTTGAATGTCATGTAACTTGGTGAGGAAGATGAGTGAATGATTAAGGGAATCTCTATGAAGCCATGCCAACCATCATGAACTGCTGTTGTGTTGTTGCTGTTCCTTCTCCTTACTGATTTTGTCCATCTAGAGACTTTACTTAAATACTCTTCAAAGGGATCACAAAGCATATTTTTTATCTGTGTGAGCATTGAAAAACATTAAATATTTATTTTGAAAGGATTAATTTATTAACCTGGAAGGATATGTGAATCCTCTGACTCAGAAACCATTTTTTTGTCATTTGATGATTGATTGTGTTGATGTTTATTTCTGTCTTCACTCCACATATCAAAAAAGGATGAATGATAATTTGTTTTACAATTTTTGCAGGTAAACTTTTTAAAAAAAATCAATCTCTAAATGATTCTAAAGAACCTGTTGCAATTTGAATTCCCTGGTGCAAAGACTAATAATTAAATATATAAAAAGCCATTGTATATTTTAATGTGATCTGATAATTTTGATATACCTATAGCTATGTAGGTATTTTATTAAAGTACTCATAAAACAAAACCTTCTACCAAAATCTATTCATATATGCAAGCAATTTTATTTTTGTATAACTAATTAATTTGGAATTGTAATTTGCAGCCTTGATTAGTGTATGACATTTGGTAATTCATTTTTTGTCTTACAATATATTTTGATATTTGAGACATTCTTGGTATCATATAAAATACAAAGGAGGAACACAGTATATCATAATGCTTGCTATTCTTTTAAAGATGTTAATCATAAAATAACCATTACTTTCTGATAAATTTCTTTTCTTCTCCTCCATGTTTTCTATTTCATTGAATAGATTAAAAATTAAATTAGATAGTAATCCATTTTATATTTCAATCTTTCAGATGTAATTTGTCTTCTGTTTTATAAAAACTAAAAAAAATAACAAAACAAATAAAGCAAAAAATTAATGTAAGGTTGGCTGTGTGTGTGTGTGTGTGAGAGATGTCATTTCCAGTTCAGTACATTACTCATCACCTAAAATGAAAGAATTATAATATAACTTCAAAAAGATTTTCCATTGTTTACTAATAGACCAAAATTTCAATTTCCTAATTAAAATAGTAGATAATTCACTAATGTGAACAAAACCTTTTTGTTATTTCTATTGATATTTATTTAGAATCAATGTCAATTTTATACATATCAAATTAAAAGCCAAGTCTGAGCAGTGAAGGAAACAGCTGTGCAGACTTGCTGATATTCTTCATCTGTGCACGTCAATATTCATTCATGATTACTTATTTATAAACTGCTTACTCCAACATGTGTAGCATTAGGGAATCTGTTGCAGTAGTTGTCAAACAACAGGGATTTTACCAACATTGGTGCTAACCAATGATTACTGGTATATCAGTATGTGTGTGTATATATATATATATATATATATATATATATATATAGAGAGAGAGAGAGAGAGAGAGGAAGGAAGCATGCAAAATATACATGTGATATGAATGTGGTGCATGTATATGATCATGTGTACTTATTAGTTTATGAATGAAACTAAAATACTCAAAAAGATTGAAGGAAATATGTAGGTCAAGTAATTTCCATTTTTGTGCCTATTTGAGAAAAATAACAAAAAACAAGAGAGAATTACAATATTTTCTAAACATTCTCATATTTTTGGACCAATCAACTTTTGGAATTACTATTCTGAGATGGCAGCATGCCCACAACTATAACCAAGTTGTCCAGGCTAGACTGAGCTCTCAGTCACATTTCATTCTCCCTTTTCCACTCATTTTCTATTGATCTACATTTATTTCATATCATTCCCCACTCTCATTTCTTTCCATTCATATTTTTACTTCTTCTCTTTCTCTTTACTGTCCCTCTTTCTCATATCATTTTTTCTCTCATTACTTCTCTATGTTTAACTTGTTCATTTCTTTATTCTTACCTTCTTTTTTCTCCTTACTCTTTAATATATTTTAATTCTCTTATATGTTCTACATTTATCCTCTTCCTTTTTTTCTCTCTCTTCTCTTTTAAATTTCTTTCTTATCACCTCTCTTCCATTTGTACTTTTAGCCTCCTTTTTTCCATCATTTCTGCTTTTATCTACTCATCTGTCTCTATTTTAAAGTTATAGTGTAGGAAAGAGGAGAATCCTTTGCCTTCATGAGTCAATAATCTTACAATGCAAAAGTCGCTCTCTAGTGTTTGAACAGTACATGATTGGACTGCCCAAATTTCAAGAACAGATGACTCCAATTCAAAGATTATGGAGAATGGGAACTCTGATGCAATGCCAAAAGATTGAGGAACTCAGAGTCGTTTTGGTGCCAGGTAGGCCAAGGATTTGTGCTTTGTCATTAAAAATAAGGCATGGATCTTTTAATACATAATCATACACACACACACATACACACACACACACACATATATAACACATGCATTATTTATTATCATACACAATGACTTACATGATAATTATAATACATATATTTTATTTGTTTATCTCTAAAAGTGTGTTTTTATATATTTCTGAATATAAATATACAAATGAATGCACATGTGTGTATGTGTATATATATATATATATATATATATATATATATATATATATATTATTGTGTTCACATATTGCTACATTGACAAGCTAAATACTGGAACCAAGAGAAAAGTGCCTAATTAACTAGGATATAATTATATATAATTCATGTAATATAAAGATGTACTAGTTTTAAATATCCCAACTATTCCAAAATAGTGCTTAATTCCATGGAATAATTTTTTAATGTATAAAAATCAAGCCAAAAAGGAATTTCCCCCAGTAGACAGTATTTTTAGAGCATCCAGAAAGGATCAAGCATCATCAATGGCTGATGAAATCTATGGCTTATGTTATTGTCAAAGCATTGTCTAATATTCTTTTCTCTTACCCAATTTTTTTGCAGTCTAGTTTTAATCTATGAGACTTAAATCTATTTGAGACTTATGACAAGCAAAGAGATTGTGTGCATGCAATTTATATGATTATATTAAATATAAAATATTTACACACACACACACACACACATATTGATAATTTTGTACTGTTTATTGTTTTCAATACAGCTTAATCCTCACATTCTTTTACAGTTCCAATAATTCTGTTTGGATCATAAATTCAAGCTTGGTATAACCTGATACATTTGATGTCATTTACAGTCAATCTATATGCACAGTTGTTAAAAACCACAATTTGAAATGTATGCATCATATTTAACAGCATGAAGGATATATCTTTTTTTTCTAACAGAGTGACGGAAAAACCACCTTACACATTATAAATTCATAAATGAAAATGAGAGATTTCCTTAAACTAATATTGCCATAGACTGCCAATATTTCTTGAATTTTCCTCACAAGAATCAAGGAGTTGCATATGAATACACCTCTACCATCATAAATTGTGTGCATGTTTACAACCAAGCAGTATTTTATATCAATAATATAAATGTTAAGGAACAAATGGTATAAAAGGGTATAACCCATAAGAAGACAAAATTGTTTCAAGTTGCTATACTTTAATTCTTTTAAAAATTTGCTATTATAAAAAAATTTAAAGTCCCCACATGCATTTTTAAGAAGTACAAATATATACAAATAGAAACTTCTCACCCCACCATGATATAAGTAGTAATACAAATAAGAGGTAATTTGATTACCAAATAAATATACTTTTTAACTGATTGGCAAGACTCCCAGTCTTGGAACAAGTATCAAGAAATTTGGCAAACCTTCTTCACACTAATATCCATTCCAATAAAATAAATTTTGTACTATATAATTAAAGAGTAAAGCATATCCTTTTGTTAATCACTAACTTGAAAAAAATAAAGCTTGATTTAACATAATCCATTTAAACAAATCTAAAAAACATTTTATGCAAAATTTCTTTCTTAAACTACCATATCAGACAGGCACTTCATAAATCCTGCATCTACAATCATTTCTACCCTTCAGCTATTGTCACAAAATATTAAATCCAATTTCTGAATTTTCATAAAGTTCAGATTTCAAATAAAATATGCTGGGACATCCCATAGTATAATATTTAATATTTTTTTCAATAACAGAGTAAAAAAATTTGATTATAATGATAACTGTTTTACAAGAATTCAATTTACTATTATAAAAATAATATACTATTATAAAAGTAAATGGAATTTTGATCATATTTAGAATTTTATTCGTCTAAACAAGCAAGCAGTTTCAGATACTGTTTTCTAGTATTCTCTGCTCTACTTCTGTACTTTTCCAGAAAAAAAGAGTTTGATTATAATTGTAAACTTGTTTTTATGCTTTTGTATGTCTAAATGCCTGAAACAAGAGATTACTACCATAATTCAAAAATACTTTCAGGATAATTTATTCAACAATTCTAAAGGTTTTATCACATTTTGGCCATTGTACAGACATCCTCAAGTGACAGTAGTATGCAGTAAACTTATAATGGTGTGTTTTGTTCTCATTCCTTCTATCATATCTGTTGCCCTTCCCCAGGAGTTTCAGATTACTTAGGTCTTCCTTAAGATGCTATTATGCCTCTACACTTGGAATTAAACTCACAATTTCCAGTGTACCATATGATTTTTATCAGTATTTTGTATTCACTTTAAGACATCCAGAAGAATTTTGAAATCTTAAACCTAATCTCTATTATCTTCTAATTAGAACATTTCTAATTTTTAGTGTTTATATCTATGCTAGGTCAAATTACACACTGGTTTGCTTGAGCTAGTGTCCTCATTTTCATTGTTATGGTCAGAACATTTCAGATATACCCTCTAGCCTTCTTCGGGTGATTGTCATAGTTGGTAACTTTCTGGGAATTTTTAACCAGATCCTTTATTCATTTCCATGTTATAGGGTATCTTGTATAAAAAAATTCTGTCTAGTTAATTCATCCCTGTAATGTTAAAATCTGCTAAACCAGAGTATATGGCATTTTCCCACTACTTAAATTTACAACAACCAGGTAACTCAGTTCACTTAAGCAATGCTTTTATGTGTTTCATAGGACAATTCAGAAAAGGAAACTTGGAGTTTTGAACCTAATGACACTTGTCTGACACTTCAAGTGAACTAGAGTTTATGACTTTTACACTACCTGTAGTGTAATTAGGTGGTAATTTGTTTAGTTTTATGCCTATAGTGCTTTCTTAATTAAAGGCTCCCCATATTTCTATACTAAGACTGTTGAGGAGGTTATATACATTGATTCTTTCAATAACCTTATCTTCTAATGTTGTTCTCTATCTATTATTTTGGCTTCATGGGGATGGTGAGTCACTCTTTTCTCTATACATGTGGATGCAATAGAGTCAAAGCATGCCAATTATAGAAGCCAAAGTCTTTGAAAGATCACAGTACAAGATACACCAGTTCACCATTAGTCTGTGGAATCAGCTGTCAACATGAATAAATACCACTTAAGTACTTCTAAGGAAACGATGTTAAATAATTGTCTGATCTTCACTACTACCCTTCCATATTTAACTTTAATAGTTCAACTGAAGAAGTAACCTTGAAAATTCACATGACACAGGCTGAGTAGTTGAGATGGAAAGTGAGACAGCACTGGAGAAAACCCAGCTTCTCAAATCAGACATCACAAGAGAGGCAAAATGGCTTCTTAAGTAATTCAAAGTGATACTAATATCATCATACTACAAGCTGACAAAGGTAATGTGACAGAGTTTGGAATATTCAAAAATGTTAGCAGGCCTAATTGTCAACAGTAGCTTCTGCAAGTTACAGAAAGATCCAACTCAGAAAACTGAGAGGAAACTGTCAGGTATTCTGAACAAGAACAAGGATCAGACAGTATTCCACTGAGTCATGTAGTTATTTGTTGAGCCAATTCCTGATAGATGTAGTTAATAATGACAGGTAAGTCTTTGTCCTATGGAGAGAAAAAAAGTAACTGCCAATTTTATAGTCACTTAAGGATGCTCCAAGTGAATGGTGAATTTGTATATATTCGAGCCTGTTCACCAAAGTTCACACAGATGTGGTTCTATCTTTAAATGGAAGTTGGATTGTTCTCTTGGATAACATACCGGTATTCTGATAGATAACCTAATGGAGATATTGACTTCTTGTCTAGAAACAATATATTTCCAGTTTGGTTCTGACATGAGGATTGGCTGAAAATTTTATAAGCTGACCAAGATACTCTCATGGAATGTGACTGAATGAGGTTTATTTTTCAACATAGTTCCCCTTGTGATCCATACACCTCTTCCATTGGTGTTGCAGACTGGGTCACATTGGTGAAAAAGATTTCATCCTGTTGGTGAAAAAAAGTCATCAACAGAAGATATGACACTATCATCACTGCAATACTTGTTCCCAGCCAAGTGTTTTTTTCATAGGAAATAGGAAGAGTGATCAACCAGTTCAAAGCCACAGTCATGTACAGCAGCTATTGACACCAAGGACTTGTGTGCTGGAGCATTGACCTGATAAAATAACACACTTTTCATCAGTTTTCCTGGGTATTTGGTCTTGATAGCTTTTCATAACTGTCTTAGCAAGTTGGCATAGTACTCTCCATTGATGGTGTGACCCTTTTGAAGATAGTCAATAAACACAATGCCTTCTGCATCCCAAAAAACTGAAACCATCACCTCCCATACAGATTAAACAAACTTGGCCTTCTGTGAACCAGGTGAGAAAGGGTGTTTCTACTTTATGGACTTTCTGTTTGTCCCTGGCTGAATGTGGTGAACCCAACACTCGTCTTATCTTAGAAAATATTCAAGGAAATCTGAATCTGCCTCAAACAATGTCAGATTTTCCTGTGATGTGGCCAGCGTTTTTGATCAAATGTTAAACAACATGGAACCCACCAAACAGAAACCCTCATCATGCCAAGTTCATTGTGCAGAATATTCTCAACTCTTTCATGAAATATGCTAATAGCATTGGATATTTGATTTTTACTTAATCAACTCTAATCCCTCAACATGTGGTGAACTTGATCAATGTTTTCCTTACTGGTGTAGTTGCAGGTAGTCCAGACCTTGAGTTATCTTCAAGACTCTCCCTTCCCCTCCTAGATTCAGCTGCTCACTTTTGCACTGTTTTGTTATGTAGTAA